CATATGTGACTTAAAGATTGACTTTGCAATTGTTTATCATGGAAATATTTGGCAAAAATATTTGTAACTAGAATTCCATTTGAGTAAAACCAACTTGATAATCATTGAATTTTTGTTATTCATAAATAAATGCATGACTCAACCCTAGGAGGTATATACTGCCTTGAGGAGTGCAGATTTTACACAAAAGTGACCAATCGGACATAATTTCTACTGTACATATTTGATTTTTTTACAGACCCCCTTCAATTTTAATTAATATGTTATTTTTGAAAGAAATTTATGTCAAAATGTCCATCAAGCTTCAATCTTGCCTCCTAAAATCAACATGGCAACATCATCATTCAGTCAAAAGAGTTAGCATTAATTTTAATCACGGGGTACAATCGAATAATTTTGGCAACGTACCGGAGAACGACATTTTACTAAGAAATGGCAATAATTTAGCCCAATATATTTTTAACTAGAGTTCTACTTTGATTTTGACAAAAGTAAGTATTCCATGCAATAACTATTTCATTCATGAGTTTGTAGGTATTCTGTTGGAACCAAGTTCTGATCAAGTACGAAGTTATTGAAATCGGCGCAGTCGGACTTTACTCCGAAAGATGGTTTTTCGATTATAACTTTTTACAACATTTAAGTATAGACTTTTGAAAAAAGTACAGAATAGTCCTTATACTATTGAATAATTCTGTTATTTCTGATTCACACGACTCTGATTTGTTTAATTAAAAAAAAAGTTTTAAAAATACTACTTAGGAACGTAACCGGAGCTGGGAACGTAACCGGAGCAGATCAGTTGAATTATATAATTTAAAAAAATAAAATATATGATTTAATATTATTTACCAACACATATGAATGTTAAAATGAGCATTTATTACCCTTCACTTACAGGAAAATCATTGCATGGCAATTAGTATAAATTAGAAATTAAGTGGGTTCTTATAGTTCGCTGAACAAATACAATGGGTGAAATCAAATGGAATTATTTGCTTACTACATTTAATCACTTCATTCTCCATACAATGATTGTTCTATGTTAGAGCCTTTCTAAGGTAAGTGCACTTATGCATGGTAAATACCAAATTTAATTTTTCACAATGGATAAATTTTTTTCTTTAAATAAAATGTAATAAATACGCATTCGAACAATCCCGTATGTTTTTAAATTAGTATATGTGCTTTAAATCATATATTTTAATTTTTTTGATTAAATAATTCAACTGATCTGCTCCGGTTACGTTCCCAGCTCCAGTTAAGTTCCTAAGTAATATTTTTAAAACTTTTTTTTTAATTAAACAAATCAGAGTCGTGTGAATCAGAAATAACAGAATTATTCAAAAGTATAAGGACTATTCTGTACTTTTTTCAAAAGTCTATACTTAAATGTTGTGAAAAGTTATAATCGAAAAACCATCTTTCGGAGTAAAGTCCGTCTGCGCCGATTTCAATAACTTCGTACTTGATCAGAACTGGGTTCCAATAGAATTCCTACAAACTCATGAATGAAATAGTTATTGCATGGAATACTTACTTTTGTCAAAATCAAAATAGAATTCTAGTTAAAAAATATATTGTGCTAAATTATTGCCATTTCTTAGTAAAATGTCGTTCTCCGGTACGTTGCCAAAATTATTCGATGGTACCCCGTGTTAATGGCTCTCAAAATTATTAGTTCATTCATAGGATTTCACTTTTTATATGTTGGCTAATCTTCAATTCTCTCTTGTTTTTTCCAGGTGCAGCTGTGGGAATTTGAAATGCACCTGAGGCAACACAGCATAAATTAGGGGACATATCTTAATGAATTTGAGTGATCAAGCTAACACCACAATATCATCAGCATACAAACATCGATCAATCAATGAAAATAATAGCCACTATTTAACATGTGATGTCATAATCAGCATGTTTAATGATTTCTGAAGAGCAAGATATTTATTTACAGTTAGACTTTGCCAACTTCAGAACTTACAAAAGGGATGTTGTTTTATAAATGTATGATTTCGATTGCTGCTTGCTTTGCCATTACAAGATTGTGATTCTGAGTCTTGTAGAAATAAATTGTTAAAACATTATATTTGAAGTTTATTAATATTGTTGAAATATATATTAACATGGGACGTCATCATCAAATTTGGTCAATGTCTCAGAGCAGGTTATTTTTACAAGAAATTTCAAGATTTTCACACCATTTACCTCAAAAGCTGCTGAATCGCAGACAAACCGATCCATAACATGCAATGACAATATGTCAAAAATGCTTCTGCACAAAGTCAGAACTATTATGATCCAAAATGAGGTGCCAACGTCCTTTCCTCCAAACATTCCATATTCCCAGAATGGTCTTTATTTCCCAGCCATTGCCCCAGACACTTTATGTTATGTGTCATATTAAATTAGAAAAACATGTGTCAAAGATTCCCCAGAAATTATGTAAAGAAAGATTAGCAAAGCAAATGATGTCATTTCCCAAATAGACGGGGATTCCCAGAAATAAATAAAGTGGGGTTTGCAGAGAGGAATATAAAACACACTGAATTGAACTGCTTGGAGAATGGAATTCCGTGTACCAAACAAAGATAGGATATTTGTATTGTCACTATGGATGGATCTCCAAACTAGGCATGACTTCATGATGATTGGCTCCCCGGGACAGAATATGTCAGAATGTTGTTATTTTTTTCTGACATATACGTATAACTGACTATAAATTCATAATCAAGAGTCCAAAAGATTCAAACCAATATAAGACCAAAACTCAAGTCATCGAGTCTTCAATTAAAACACAGAAATTCACTATTCAAGTTTTTATTCATCATATTTATTTTTATCATATATACTCTCTGAACAACATGCTTAATGAGATCATGTTTATGAGCAGTTTGGCATATTAATGTAATAGTTGATTCATTGGAGCCCAAAATTCCTACACAAGGTATTAGTAAGAAACTCATTACAGACAGTACTTGTCAGCTTGTATAGTATATGTTTGAAGCCTTTTAAGTGGGAAAATGATGGTACTGTTACAACTACAATAATACAAGTGAGATACACAAAATTGCTGAGTTAGTGCCTGAGTTAGGTTACCATTTGAAATCGAAGTCTATATACCAAGTTTAAATTCAAACAAAAAATCTCGTACAATAAGATAATTCAGACACCAATCTATTTTTAAATTAATAATGAAGAAATACTTTCAAACGCTGTTTCTCTATTCTATTAATATTGTGATTAGAACATTTCCAAAGCATGCTAAGTGTGTCTAGAAGTCTTAATTTCCATTCTATTAATAATTAAAAAATAAAATAATTAAAAGTTCGATATAAGTTATTTTTATTCCACAAGAAGCCAAGATTTCTATAAACATGTCTTTTATGTATTACTCTCAAGAAAAATCCATCAAAAGGATTTTGATTATTGTTTTTGAGGATCAAATAATCTTCACTGGACTCACAGAACTCAGTGTGAACTTGAACTCAGGCATAAGCTGAAAGCATACAATGAGGTCAAGAACAGCTTAGAGATAGTTTCATATTGTAGCTATGCAGAGATGAGTTAGCTTGCGTGCGAATACAGGCATATGGCACATCTTGTAGATGAATTACAAAAATGTCTCAAGTGTACAAAAACTCTTAATTAGCAGTAGCACATTCTTCATTTCATTCTATATAATTCATTGTTTAAAACATTACAGTCTGAAACCAACCTCCGAACACAGGGTTTCAAAATCCAGAATATATTCTTTTTACCCCCTGTGATAAGCAGTTAGCATTTCCCCGATTAAGAACTGGCAATCTGATTGGCTGTCGCAACAATGCGACAGAAATCATGTATACGTCATTGCGCATAATAAGATCACGTGATTCAGTTTAATCGGGCGCTTCCAAATTGGTTATAGCAGGGGGAAGAAGGAGGTAAGGATTCTGGACACCTGCTCAGGAGGATGTCTGAAACATGATCATTAACATTGGAAAAAGTGCAACATAAAAATACAGTAAAACACTGTTTTATTATAAATCATGAGATCATTCCATAAGCAAATATCCACATGTCCTATCCATTTAAGTCCTATATTAAGTATAATATAAATTGTATATGATTAAAAGCTTATACAACAACACAAACAACAATATCTTGTCCCCTGAATCCAAGGAATCAAATTACATCCTCCCAAATAATGTTAAAATAAATTGGAGTTGCTACAATTTTTTAAAGAAAAACAACAATAGTGAATAATAAAAATAGGAATGGATTAAACATCCACAAAATAACAGTTGTGGGAGCTGTCATGCATGGTTTGAGCACAGCAAATATTCATACAAAACCAAGTGAAATGCTATTTGAGAAGCTACAGTAACAGTCTACTCCAGTCCTGATTATTAAAACATGCAATGGGCATTTTGGGTACCACTTTTTCTGACGGGAAATTATGTCATTTTAAACAAATTAGATCTAATTTGCTCCTTTTCTTCTAAGCAATTAGCACTGTGAAGGTGGCAAACAACACATTGTGTGTGGGATTTTAATACTTGACCTAATGGTGGTTTAATTTGTGATCAACCTTTTTACTTTTTTTAAATAATACATTACACTGTCAGGTGACTTAAGTTCCTGTCAGAAGTGTTACATTTTCAAATCACATTTTCAACCAAAACTTTTTTACATACACATAATAGTTCTTTAGTAAATAATTATAGGCCACAATAACAAGACAGCGATAGGTCATATACAGCTTTGCATTGGATAACAGATAGCATTTTGGTTATAAACTTTCTACATAATGTTACAATGTGAACAATAAATAAATTATTTATTTACATCCTATGTGGCTTTCAAAGGTACCATATAATACCAAAAATATCTATGTACATTTTCTATATACTGAGTCTTCCCTATGGCACTTTAGATCCTGGATAGACATTAAGACATGCGATACACAGAGTGTTCAAGGTCCCTTTACAATAACAATACAAAATCTGTGAAGTATAAAGAGACTTTATGGACACCATGTATATAATGACCACTTCAATACACCTGTGGATTTCTCTTTAAAAGCTGCTTATGTTAAATACCTAACAACGTTTCAGGTATACACTTTAGAATTCACATTCCAAAGTGTTTCACTCCTAGATAAATCTAAAATATTTGAATTGATGAGCATTCAAGTTCAGACACTCACACACCATTCTATGAGTGTCCTGTTTGGCCTTTGGGTGATGCAAGGCAATGGCTTATGAAAGCATGTGGCTCACATGCATCAGTAGTCTAATGCCACTTATATATGGCCCAATACTCTCCTATTTGTTGGCTAATTAAAGCCACTTATATGCAGCCCAATTCTCTCCTATTTGTTGGTTATTCAGAGTTTCTTGGATAAGGCCAAAGCTACTTATATGTGGCCGAATGATATCCCCCGTGTCTGTTGATTAAAGGCTCTGGTTTATGGTCTAGTCGGTCCTATGTATCACATGGTTAAAGCCACTTTTTAACTTGTCTGTAGAGAGAGTATGAGATCAGAGAGGCTGCTAAAGCTGCCAGAACATAGCTGCAGATATTCACACCATTCCTTAGCACATTGCCCTGAAATTCAAATCAATAAATATGTACAATATTGCACTTCACACCATATTTAGGGGGAGAAGAAAACATATAGATTAGGTGAAAAATTGCAAACAATGTGATCATCAACTGACCTATCAGAGAATATATCAGAGAATTCAAAATCAAAACATCTCTCAAAACATCTCTCATTATCATAAATGCAAAAATGTGTGATATACACAAAATATAATACATAAAAATCTTAAATGTTCTTGAAAAAAATATTTCAATATTTGGGATTTTTTCGAAAATAAAGTTTATGAGATTGATATGAGGCCAAAATATTCTAAAATTGTTCGACAAAAAACGACTTACCCAACCACCCTGCTCTTGAACCCAAGTACATATTTTCTGCCTCATAAAACTGATTGCCCAAGTCATCATTTTCTTCAAATACTCCATAGCTTTCTCTTTGATGAACCGTATAGCAAGATCAGAAATATATACAAAGAGCACCATGATGCGTTCCCGCGTAATGCGTACATCACCTCCAGTTGTGAAGAGCTCTGTGAGGAGGTCATAGAAACCTTCTTGGTTGTCAACTTCATCCAGACCAACCTGAAAGTATGATTATAATCATAATGAATACTATGTATCTCAAATAATTATGAATGAAAAAATCGACTATGATTTAGACAGGCTTTGGCCATTTCTTCTAATAATAATAAAGAAAGAAAAAGAGTGATAGCATGTGTCTTCAAAACTGGCATTCTCATGAATCTGTATCTCAAATGATCATAAAAGTTCTACTCAGATTAGACCAACTTGGGGTTAGGCTGTTTGTCGAGGTCATTTGAATGAACAATTAGCATCATTTTACTCCTTGAGAAGATCCCATATTAAATCTCTTTTTCATAAATATTGTTTAACTGCTTCAAAAATACCAAAGCACCATCTGGTAGTGGAAAATGTGCAAGTTTTTATTTTTTGATTTACATTTATAAATGGTACTGCGTGTACTGGGCTCACATGGTGTTGTGAATTTTCTGCGACAAAAATAGTGGCCATTTTGAAACGAAAATAGCCTAAATTAGGTGAGCTTTTGAACCAGGAGTCATGGGTTATTTTTTCTATTGGTAATATGGATCTTTCCTCTGGATTTAATTGACTAATTTAGTTTCTGTTATATTTATCTTACTATGACGAATCATTGACAAGTTTAAACTTGTTAAATCATAAAGTACACATTATGTTAAACTGTCTTTGTCATAAGAATTTTATGAACTGTAGTAAATTTAACTGGAAAAAGTATTTGTGATTATTTCACATTGTGAAGCTGTAGTTTAATTTTTAAATGCAATAAGCACAATTAAAGTTGGAGGAGATTAAAATTGTGCAATCCAAGTTTCTATACACAGATCAATAGTCTAACAAGAGAAAATGTTTGAATAAATCAATAATCATATGAAGGAGGTTTGTAAACACCCATTCTAGGAATGCAACCAATTGATTAATGCTTAAATTCGATTGGATAAGACATATCAAGTGATAGGAATATATGATAAGCTTAATATCTAAAATGACACAGAAATTCCATATGGGTTATTATTAGGTGTTCAGAAATATATGTGTCATCATTTTCTTTTACCGATATACCTATAGCCTACTTGAGGAGCAAATCACATGAAAGTTTTGAAGTTGTACCTGCTAAATGCCTTGACAAAATAACAATAATGAGGAAGTAAATAAACAAATTGATTCCATGACGTCATACTTTTTAAAAGATGTTGCACACTTATATTACGACAGTAACATGTAAAGTATCCACGTTCTTTTGTATTTTGTTTATTAAAACAACTATACATTTATACCATAGGCGTTTTCAAATCCCCAAGAATTTCAAAATTCCTCAAGATATGTATGACATCAAACATTTCCACGAAATCACAAAAATCACAAAGATGAGTCCCATAATATACATGGTACTATGTAAGTAAGCAATGGAAAAAATATGAATACATACCCTGTTAGCTCTGTCTCTAATTACTTGTCTCTCTTTCGACTTTTCGAAGGCGTCAGCCATTTCCTTCAAAATCTTTCCTTCTTTAGCCCATGCTGAATGTTTATAGCCCTTTGGAGTAGATATAGAGCTGCCAAATAGAAAAACATATCCATAATATTACTCAGTTTATATTGATAAGTTTAATATATCCTATTATCATTTCTATGTTCTGATCCAGTATGTCATTTCTAGGATTGAAAAACATACGAACTGTAGATGCTATATAATTAATAGATACCTGAGATCCAAGAATAACAAATATGCAAGATATGATCAAATATATATGCAAATACTGCACATGTAATCTGATTTGTTGTATCCCATCATATTCTTCTACATGAATTTTGTTCCTTATTTAATCCCTAATCATTGTGCTAATACTTAAGACATGTACTTACCATGATACTGCGGAAAATGTTTTATCAAGCATTTCTTTAACATCTGGCTTGCTGACTAGATCTTTTTCTTTCTCAACTTCATAAAGTACAAAATTGCTTAGCAGCTCCACTCCCTCCTCTTCACAATCTTCAGATGACTGTGTTTGGGACCAATTGCACAGGTTCTGACACCCAGTCCCGGGAATATGATTGTTCATCTCGGGAGGTATGTCTAGCTTGGGTATATTATGCTCTGACATACGCTTTCTCCACCTACTCTCCTGGAAAGCTTTCATATCATCCTCACTGGTTTGCCTTTCTATACAACTTGCCATGACTTCATTTAGTATTCAAATCGTTGTGCTGATGCAAACTTATCCCATAATTATTCTGAAAAGTGTCAAACTTCAATGAGATAATGTTCAAAACCAAAGACACATATAGACAGGTCACAGGAACATTTCTGACCTGACTCCTTTCAAAGGCTTAAACTGATCTGATAGAAAAGCCTTTGATCACCCACTATAGGCCGCTAGAGAATCGTGAAAGTCTGTAAGTTCAATATCAGCTTTTTTCTAGCGAGAAATCAAAATGGTGATTTTGATGGAAATTTACAGGATAGCATTTTAAATCTACAATGATTTCCGAACTGGAACTTCAGTAAGTTCATTTGAAAAGAGATTTTGAACACTGCTTCATGAGTTTCTGTCAAAACCGCAATTTTGATTTCTTGCTAGAAAATGTCTACTCGGGGTCAAAGACAAGTCCTGATCGACACAAAAGCAGCTGATAACTTACAGACTTAATTTTGTAAACAGAGGATGGAGATTTATGAAAGGCCTAAAAAGTAAGCAGCTGATTTCAGTTGTCAACAACAACAACAAGTAGTTTCCGGCGTCACGATTCTCTAACAGCGTATAGAGAGCAAGCAAAGGCTGTTCTATGAGAGCAGTCAGGCAGCTTTCGAAAGAAAGGTTCCATGCCTCAAAGCCTAAACTGAAATCAACAGAGAATACTCAGTATTTTCTTTGAAGGCACACGCTATTATATGCCATACAAATTCCAAGTTCTTGTGACATTAAAAGATAAATTGAATGATAGAGTGTACTACTCTAACATGTCTAAGTCGAGATCCAACTTTAATTACCCAAATGCGAGTAGGTAGTTACCAGTTTCATCACCAGGTGGCTGATTCGGGTCAATTAACATGGCAGGTATATAAGAAAGTTCCCTTAAACTTGAATATTATCAATTTAAGTGGCTCAATTTTCATATAACCCTTGTGTGTCTGATACTTATACTAATGAAAATATGTCCAGTAAAGCAAAATATTATCTGTCCACTAAAAGAAAAGATAGTTCATTTTTTGTGATTTTATAGCATGGGGTCTATGGGGAATCTCCCCGAGCTAGAAGTCACATTTTCAAAGAAAATTAATTTTTCAAAGTTGATAAACACTTTTTAAAACCACATTTCTAGATGTAATTTTACATGTAGATTTCAAATATGATATTACTTCGACTTAATTTTGAATTTTTAATGACGTAAATCAAGATTATTTCTACTCGCATCTGGGTTATTTTTTCAATTTTTTTTCATGTGTTTTGAAAAATCATAACTTTGTTTTGCTTATTTCTCAGTAATATATTGGTCGATTTTAATAAGATATGCATTATCGTATCTATTTGATACTATTCTACAATTTAACAAGGATACTTACTTCACATGGGCAACATCAAGCTTGGTATTTTGGTAAATGTGCCGCCAACCTTCAAATATTCAATGACTCACTAATGGAAACCCCGCAAAATGACGTCATTGATCAATAAACCAATCTAAATACACTAGACGAAACACTTTCGTTTTAGGGATTTCCAGAAATATCACAGTGCCGGGTAAGACATTCTTCGCACTCAATTTGAAGTCCCTGAGGCACGAGAACGCAATAAGTAATATTTTGTAGGTAACGTATCCCAAATATGCATAAATTGTAAAATACCGCATATGAGTATTTATTATAACTCGTGGTTGTTAACAAAAGGTGTATTTATTACAACTCGTGGTTGTCACCAGCAAAAGAAATCTGGGACCCGGAAATGCAGAAATGTCGTTGATGTTTACTATAACGCCCAGGTATTTTCTTGTTTATCACGTTAGTGGCAAATGTGTTCAACAGTTGAATTAATTAGGAATGTTTCAGTCACAGATCCGGAGCCAGATCGAGCCCCTATTTGTAGTAGCCTCAAAGGATAAATGGGGAGATAAGCCACGAGCCAAATATGCTACATCAAAAAAATGACCACCCAAAATTATGACCCTCGCAATGACCTTTATTTTTTCCATCTGTCAGACATTGATTGATCAATATTTACCCTGTAATCTCTTTTTTATGTATTAGTTTGAATGGTTGCACCATGATATCCATTATTGATGCTGTAATTCGACTTTTCCCGGGACATATTTCAAATTTTCAGAGCGTAAAGATAATGGAGTGCTTTGGTAATTTCCAGCAGTGTCCGATGTTCGTCTCTCAAATAACGTCACATCGCAACAAACAGCCAATGAAAGTAAAGGATCGCGTAGCCTAACAAACGGTTGTTATTGTTTTTACGGGAGTTTAAAGAAACGTCATGGGACTTCTCGGTAATCTCTGATGTGACGTCATCTGGAGTGGTGTCACATTCTCAGGAAAGGCATTTGACTTTGGGAATAATCATTTTAACAATGGAGATAGCCAAAGCACTCCATTAAATACATGTACCAGCTTTCACAATAGCAATACCACGGTCATGGCAGGATCCTTGCGAAACTTAAAAACACTTAATAACATGTTGACGGTTGTGCCAGGCATAGGTCTTGCAACAGATAGGGTCTCGGATATTTTTATATACAATGCTGATACAAATTAATTGATAAGTCGTATAGTTGGCTAATTTTCTTGAATTTTAACATGTAGCTAATTTCCCAAACTCCTACAAACTGCAGAAAAGTATACACCGTAAATCATATTTATCAAAATGAGTGTCTTCATACCAGGGTATGCATAATGCATTTGTCACGAGTTTGAGCTGAAATTTTGCTAAAATGAAGTAAGGGTAACATGGTAATCTCCGCCAGGTTTGTTTATTGTGGTTAGCTTTCATGGTAAGTGCTCAGAAGCAAATAATTCATCTTCGCAAAATAATCAAACAATCTGATTGGTTTAAACTTTGGTGCGCATGTGCACGATGTGTGCCATGGTTTTTTCTAGTAATTTCGTTTCGTTTCATGGAGTTTGCGTTTCAGTGTAACTTCCGCAAAAATGGCGGACCAATGACAGAATTAACAGGTAAAATCACTTCGAAATGTTAAGAGAACTTTTTACCTATAATAGCAAAACTTTTGTATTATTTGTGCATTCTATCTATCAGAGAAGAGTCTCAGGCTGAGGCCCGGGTATACTGTCATTAATAAAAAAAATCAGTCTTATTCTTATCCATTAAGCTTATAAAAATCAGTCTTATTCTTATACAGTACATGTAAGTAATCTAGTAAAAGTATTAATATACATGTATACACCACGCATTAACATCTCAGTACACTAGCGGACTTTTTAAACATTTTTAACGTATTCCTGGGCCTCAGGTCTCAGGGGTATGTAGGCAAATTCATTTTGGTAGGAGCACTCTGTTTAGTTTGAAAACACACCCTTTATTATTTTGTATCAGCACTATAAGTTATGTATCTCTGTAAATCATTCTAGTTTGATGTGACCAATTTGATCATCTAACATGAATGAAGGATTCTTGGAATACATATACGCTGAGAACAGAATAAGCAGTATTATAGATGTCACCTTTTTCCATTGGTCTAAGGTTTTGTTAATATTCAACTCATTCAGCAATTCTCATTCTTTGATCCCAATTACAAGTTTGGATTACTTGTAATTCTACTCCTTCTATGTTTATAAGGGGGCATGTATCTGCCCACTGACTGAAAAGCGTGGTGCATTTTGGTATAGTATAAGCCACACCTTTGATTCAGCTGTCTTGGGACAGATGGGAGTTTAAGCTTGCATATAAAATCGAAACGCCAACCTATACTTACATGTATGACAAATCGCCCATACAAATGCATCACTTAAATAGTTTACGTTCACATTTAGGTTTGCGAAAAACATTGCAAGCTTAAACTCCCTAATATCCTTCAAACACAGGGCTCTAGATATCTTCTACTTGGGAACAGAGTGATTGATGTCTAGAGCTCTGTGTGTGTTTAGACTCATGGGCCTCATTAGCAGTAGGGATCAGGAAAAAACTCAGGTGTTGTTTTTTCCAAAAGTACATATGTTATTTTGAGGAATATTTTCCATATAAAAATAAAAATGTTTCAATAATTTTGAATACTGTTTAGATTATATTGGCTGTTTTTTCCTTTTTCAGCATAAAGAAGGCTGTGGTGTGTATAAATGAATTACCAGAGTCCAAGTTTCCCTTGGTGCTCTCTAGGATAATACAAAAACTGCACTTAAAGGTACTGTTCAAATAACTATAGTCTTGCATTATAGAGGCAACAAAGGATACTTGTGTAAAATATTTGAAACAGTCAAACTTTTCATTAAACCATGAACTTCAAGTCCATAATTAAACATCCAGTCCATTGAAAATTCATCCATATCATTCAAAATCTGATTTAAGATGTAAGATTCAAGATGTGAATCACAGTGTTCAATTTTACAAGATATAAATCCTTAGTTGCCCCTTTAATTAAAAAGTATCTCCCTTCACTTTTAGTATTTATTGGACATGGGAAATGAATGGACTTGATACCATTGGCTTTAATAACTTGGTGGCACACTTCCTTGATTGACTCAGATAGTTTTTCATGATTGAGGATAACAATTATTTCTTCTCAATATAAACTTCAAATTGCTTTTGTTAGAGAATTTGCATGGGCTATTGTATGTAGCCACTAATGCACTCTATAGTTCTCACTTGTGCTTTTAATCGCTTGCCTTTCATGAATATAACTATATTAAACATACCTTTGTGTATCTCTCTCTCTCTAGAAAGTGAGTAAATTTATCTGTCTATATTGATTATTCTTTGTTATTTGTGAGAATAGCTTCACTTATATTTTCTCCATTTTAATGGTGGCACCTTCAGATGAATATCGGTAAAGTGAATTAAGTTCAACAATTTAGATGTTTTTGATATGGCAGACCCGTTGATTGTAATCCTAGATGGAACAGTGCAATATCTCACTTGTGATAACTCCAATTTTGCAGATTCTATTACTACGCTTAACAATATTTAGAAATAAATCACCACTATTAAAAGTTTATTACAATAGATGGCATTTCAAATGTTGTGTTCTCTGGCCAGGTTATTGGCTACAATGATCTGATTTTTAGCCTTTTACTTGACAAATGTTTTTAATTTTTTGTAGCTGAAGTACATCCTGTACACTGAAAAAATAAAGCATTAATGCAAATCACCAGCAAAAATAATTTTGGAAAGCTAACTTTAATTGGTCATGGCCCTCTCCCCCTATTTGGGAAAACATGGTAAAATGTTACAAAACACCAAACATGGTAAAATGTTACAACACCCTCTCCCCCTATTTGGGAAAACATGGTAAAATGTTACAACACCCTCTCCCCCTTATTGGGAAAACATGGTGGAATGTTACAACACCCTCCTCCCCTTATTGGGAAAACATGGTAAAATGTTACAACACCCTCTCCCCTTAATTGGAAAAACATGGTAAAATGGTACAACAACATCTCCCCCTTATTGGGAAAACATGGTAAAATGTTATAACACCCTCTCCCCCTATTTTGGAAAACATGGTAAAATGTTACAACACCCTCTCCCCCTAATTGGGGACTACATTGGTAAAATGTTACAACATAGATCCCATGGATAATGCTTCCTCATGTAATAAATACAGTAAACCTGCAATTATGAACACCATATGGAACCATAAATAAGTGTTCACTTTAGGTAGGTGTTCACTACAGAGAGGGATTTTATACAAGAGTCAATGTGAAATATGTCTTGAAATGATGTTCACTAAATACATGTGTTAACATAAGAGAAAGCTGTTCACAAAGACAGGTTTTACTGTAGTTGTTGTTTGCATGGAGATTACTTGCAATATTTTCTGCAGAGGACCTTGTAACATTAACTTAAGAATTATTAAAGCATGTTCTCTTACAATTACCCAAATGCGAGTAGGTAGTTACCAGTTTCACCACCAGGTGGCTGATTCGGGTCAATTAACATGGCAGGTATATGAGAAAGTTCCCTTAAACTTGAATATTATCAATTTAAGTGGCTCAATTTTCATATAACCCTTATGCGTCTGATACTTATACTAATGAAAATATGTCCAGTAAAGCAAAATATTATCTGTCCACTAAAAGAAAAGATATTTCATTTTTTGTGATTTTATAGCATGGGGTCTATGGGGAATCTCCCCGAGCTAGAAGTCACATTTTCAAAGAAAATTAATTTTTCAAAGTTGATAAACACTTTTTAAAACCACATTTCTAGATGTAATTTTACATGTAGATTTCAAATATGATATTAGTTTGACTGAATTTTGAATTTTTAATGACGTAAATCAAGATTATTTCTACTCGCATCTGGGTTATTCACATCATCATTTTCTCGAAAAATAATAAGTAAGCCTAATTGTTGATATTATTAAAGAGGGAATCAGATCTAGCGAGCAATTTAATAAAATTTGTTTCAATTTAAAAGTATTTTGAGCTCATATCATTCCTTGTCATGTCTTTATTTTCTAAAAAATATCCAAAGTGAATACTTTATTTTCAGGAAGATTTTTACAATTATGTATTGTTTTTCTTTTTTATGGTTACCATTTTTATTATTAGAGAGAATTTAAACACTTTCCCCTCTTTTTGCACTTTCAATTCGAAAGAACTTGACCAATTTATAACATATCATGAATCTTTTGGGAGATATGCATTTGAGATCATGAAGGAATAGATTGGTTGGACAATTATACATTTTGCTTGAAACTTTGTCTCCCCCATATAGGTCTGATTCTGCCTTTAAGTAATTGTCAGAAAGCTGAGAATATTCATTTTATGCACCTCAGGTGATTTTATTTCACGATCAAATTTCTAATTGCTTCATCCATGCAATCTGAGTTTCATTCTGAGTTTCATTAATTTAAAGCAGGAGAAGAGACTTAATTTAAATGTATGTATATATAATCCTTTCAAACCTACATGTATTCCTTCATATAATTTGATATGACTGCATGCTATACAGGGGCGTAGGAAGGTGTAAATTCAACACTACGCTAATTCAACATTGTGTCAAATTTAGTGATAAAATGTGGCTCAATTTTCATGAAATGAAGCATGTTGGAAAGGGAACTCAATCTGTTAAATCTCAATCTGTTACTAGGTTATTGTTTCATTTTTATTGGCATCCCCAAATTATCTTGATTTTTACGCCACAAGGTGTCATTTATCTGTGGTCCAAGCTAGAAAAATAACAGAGGCACGAAAATCTTGCAAAAAGTAGGCCTACTATTGAAAAGATCTAGCATATCACACGGTGTATTAAAACTTTTTTTGTGCTCAAGATCACAAACAATTTATTTACAATGAGAAAATATGACTAAAGAACATAGGGAAAAAAATAAGCCTCTTAGTCTCACTTTTCAACACTACACATTGGCATTTTTGCATACATTGTTCCTACGCCACTGGCTATAGACCAAATGAAAATGTTTTAGTAGCAATGATCTCCACGGGATTTTTCTCAAGTGGGTGCAAAATTCTCATTTTCACAATTTTCACAATTCAGATCAAAATTGGTCAAAATTTATCTGTAACCATGATCTAAAAAAAAATTTTTAGAATTCCTAGTGCTCTTGATATGGTTGCTACATGTAGCAAAGTCATCTGAGAAAATGTTTTGGTACAGACCATTTTTAAAGTATTGTAACAGTTTGGCCTATTTTTGTGGATATACGTGGTAGCGTGACTTATAATAGGCCCACTGTTTAGTAAACGGTGTTTACTTGGTGAGTTACACGGCACACGTTAAATGTGCGATTGTCCCTAAAGAATTAAACAGACATATACAATTAAATATAAATATAAAACAGTATATTGTGGCGTTTATAAGCCCAAATAAAGATGTACATTAAATGTCAAGTATGAAGGTTAAAATGCTACGATATTATTATCTCTCTCAAAACTCACAACTCAAAAGTCCATATAAGCTAATATTTATCACTAATAAAGCAATATCTAGAGTCCATATAAGCTAATAATAATCACTAAGAACACAATATCCAGAGTCCATATGAACTAAAGTAGATGATCACTATATACCACTGTTGTATCTCCAATATTAAAAGTTCATATATGTTGTAATACTTGTACGTCTTGTATTGTACTTGTAACTTGAACCTGAAATAGTAATCTCCTGGATCCTCTTCTATGTAGTGTAGTATGATTCAAGTTTGATGATGTGAAATCATCTAAGTCAACTATCACTTCAGTAAATGGCTATCTCCTGGATCCTCTTCTCTGAATTGTAGTGTAATTCAACTTTGAGGATGTAAAATCATCTAAGTCAAACTATTGCTCCGTAAGCGTAAATCTCTTGGATCCTCTTCACTGTATTGTAGTATAATTCAGCTTTGATAATGTTAAATCATCAAGTCAACTATCGGCTCGGTAAATGGCTATCTCCTGGATCCTCCTCAAATGTGTTGTAGTATAATTCAACTTTGATTATGTAAAATAATCCAAGTCAAACTATCAAGTCTGGAAACGACTATCTCCTGGATCCTCCTCAATGTGTTGTAGTATAATTCAACTTTGATTATGTGAAATAATCCAAGTCAAACTATCAGGTCTGTAATCGACTATCTCCTGGATCCTTCTCTCTGTGTTGTAGTATAATTCAACTTTGATTATGTGAAATAATCCAAGTCAAACTATCAGCTCTGTGAACGGCTATCACCTGGATCCTCCTCAATGTAGATGTATATTCTAACTTTAATGACACAAGATCATCAAAGTCAAAATATCTCGTTGAATAATCTGCTAAGTCCTGGAACGTCCTCTCTGTAGATGTATATTCTAACTTCAATGACCAAAAATCATCAAAGTCAAAATATCTCGTTGAATAATCTGCTAAGTCCTGGAACGTCCTCTCTGTAGATGTATATTCTAACTTCAATGACCAAAAATCATCAAAGTCAAAATATCTCGTTGAATAATCTGCTAAGTCCTGGAACGTCTTCCTATGTAGATGTATATTCTAACTTCAATGACCAAAAATCATCAAAGTCAAAATATCTCGATGAATAAACTGCTAAGTCCCAGAACCTCTTCTCTATAGATGTATAAGTCAAAATTATCACAATCTTCAAACTACCAAGTCCAAGGACGTCTAATACACGGCATCAACTGCTTAGTCAATGTAGCCTACTTCCTTCACAATTAAATAACAAGGCTACCTACAAATATAGCATGC